AGGTAGCCGTCCTGGGATTGGCACAAAGCCACTGCCGTCGGCAGTGGTAGTGGATGAGGCGGCAACGCCAGTAGGTCAGCGACTGCCTGCTCTTCTGCATGCCGGGCTTCGAGCTCGGCGACTGTATGCATGGCATTCGCCAAAACTTGTGGAAGCGATGGCGGAGCGTTCCGCAGAGCCACAACCATAGCTAGCCAGCGCTCGCCTATTTCGGGTTCGCCGCTCCACGCCGCGTAGGCCGACTCCGACAGGAAACCCGCAGCAGCGTGCAAGAGGGGGACGTACAGCCAAGAGCAGCGCTCGCCCGGATTCGAAGTGGGCGGGCGTGTCTCGTGCCACCTCAGCAGAGCTGGCGGCGAAACTTGGGGCACAGGCGATCGCGGCGGCGTGTGGCCAGGGGTGGCATCGTCCACTTGCGTGGGCGCTGTGTCACCCGGCACGAGCATCCGCGGCGACGGCGCAGGGAGCTCAGTGCGGGCTGGGCTCGCAGGTTCTGGCGACCTGATAATAATGCGGGCCGGGCTTGGCGAGTGCCTGGGCGATGCGAAGGGCGTGTGGGCGCTCAACGTTTCCGACGTTATTGTGGCGATCTCCGCGGGGTCTTCCGGCGGCTCGCGCAGCCGCATCTGCGCGAGGGCGTGTAGGACGCGGCTCCGGCGCTGCATTGCGTCGGGCAGTTGTTCCGGTCCCGGGTGGGCTGCCTCGCCTATGCGGCGTCCGTGGTGCGGGTGCGGCGTCGCGTCGGCACCACTCGCCCGGAACGTGTCTCTCCTCTCTGAAGAACATGGTGCAAGCAACCACGCACGTTTTGTCTGCTCCGGCGGTCTGAGGGTCTGAACGCCAGTGAGACGGGGATTAAAAACCTCTCAGGCTCTGCCGTTGAGATCAAACATGCCCGCAGGGCTCGCCTAACTTGAAATGCCTGGCTCAGCAGGTCATTTGCATCAGTTGCCTCGGACGGCGCCCACAGCCGCTTGGGCAGCCGCTGCGGCGGCTTGCTGCGCGAGCTGTAGGTCGGACCTGTTGCCACCACGATCTCTGCCTCCGCGGCGAGGGTTTGCGTCCTTGCCCTTGCCCTCGCCTCCTTTGGGTCCATGATCACGAGGCGGGCTGATTGGGCTTCGGCTCCGGCTATGGCGCCTGCTGTGGGCATGGCGGGGCTCTTCCCCCCCGTGGTCCTCTCAGGCGTGGGGCTGCGAGAAGGTCCCCGCACCATTGCTTGTAGTGAACCAGGAGAGCCAGTGCTGGCTGCACGGCCCATGCCGGAAGCCCTCTGCCATGCACAAGCCTTTGGAGCCGTGCGACTTCCATACATGGGCGGCAGCAACGACCCTCCACCTCAGCGGGTCTGGCACGGCAGATGGCACAGGTGTCGATGATTGTGTTGGGGCACGGCTACAGAGCAAGACGAGGAGACTACAACTGATGAGCTCAGCTTCGCATCGTTGTGCACAACAGAGCATGCTCATGCAACATGGCACTTCCAAAGCTGCTACTACCCCTTGTTGCGCGCCTGGGCGCGCGTCGCTTCCATCGGGTCTGTTTGCGCGGGGCAGCTGTGCTCCGCGAGGGGCGAATGCTGGCATGGCCTGCCGGGCGCGGAGAGGCTCGTCTGCGTGGTTGCGCTGCCTCGCGATGTGCGGGGTCTTTTTGTGGAATCCTGTCGGCGCGGGCGAGGCTCGCGCGGGTCACAGCTTGCGGGTGTCGCGGTGGCCGCGCGGCGCCTTGGCGGCGTGGTCGCCGACCGGAGTGCTGGCAAGTTTGTGCTTCTTATGGGGTCTTGGCCAATTTTGGGGCCGACCCGCCCCCTCCCCTCCAGGCTGCAGGAAGGGAGGGTTTGTATGGGTGTCGGCCGTCTGCCTAGGCTCCCTCGGTGGGTGGCACAAGGAAGGCTTCAGGAAGCCCTGCAAAGTGTGGCGCGGCCAGCGCGGTCCGTAATCAGGGCCGATCCGCGCGACTGGCGCGGGCGGCGCGTGCTGGGCGCCGAGTGGGGCCGCTGAGCGGGCAGGTTCGCCGCGTGTGGCGCAGCTGCCTCGTGCAGCACACGGCACAAAAGTTCTGCAGGCGACTGGCCCGCAGCCTCCGCTAGAGCCGTAGGTTCGGCTTCGCCGATTCCGCGACGCAGTTCAACAACTCGAGTGCCGCAACTGTCCACGCGGGAACAGGCGAAGGACGCGTAGAGATCCGCATCCACGCCACAGCTATGCACGAGGCTCCCAGCAAAAATCCTGCACACATCCAGCCCCAACACAAGGAGCACGGCCCCCACCCCGGAAAAAAATACCGCGGCGGGGCCCCGCTGGCGCACGTGAAGAAAGCGTGCACGGCGGCCTCGCGGCAGGTGGGGGGCAGCTGGGCTGCCGAGGGCGCAGCCCTCCACGCTTCGAGCACCAAGACTTTCAGCAGCGTCGGGATGGCACTCCATGCCAAAGCCATGCGTGGTAGCGCAAGCGAAGCTCATGGCGAAGAAGGAACCGCCCCCACTATTAGAACTTGAGCTTGAGCCAAAATGGCTTGAGCCAAAATGGCTACGGTGTAGGTTTCGAGCTCGCGTCGTGTGTGATCGCCAACCATGTGACCTGCAATCGCTATGACTAGTGTCCTGCAACCGAGAAGTCCCTTGTTGTTGCAAGGTTCAGCACTGCAACACAAGAAGCGACCGGTAGGTCGAACCCTTTAGTCGGTGACTTGGGCAGGCAATGTCAAATCGTTCAGCTATTCCCCAGGTCAAACCTCATGGCCAGGCGCCCCAAAGTGTCGCGCAGACATGGGTGCGTGTGCCGAGTGAGGCTGTCAGCGCGACCAGTCTTTCGCCCACACGACGGCCCCGCGCGTACAGCCCCAGGACCGCCGGCGTTTGGACTTCGTGGTGCACGCCGCAAATGCGCACGGCAATGCGCTTTTGCAAGCTCACTGCATACTCCGAGCTCGCATGTGGCGGCCCTTCTCATCACCGTTCGCTGCGCAATCGCCGTCTCTTGGTATTGTCGGATTGGTCCGGCCAAGCCAACGAAACGAACGTGCACCGCCATGGGCCGCTGGGCCCACGTGGCGTCATCGACTCAATCATCAAGAAGCCAAACATGCTGTGTATGTTACTTTTGCATGCCATCATCATAACTAACTTGCGTGACAGGTTGCATCCACCAGCGGCGAGAAATTATCGTGGCAGGCCGTGGTGCCTGCATCGATCCCGGCGGCACCGCCTGCAACGGTACCGACAGGGGCTGCTTGGCTCTGCACGGGCAGCTGCGGTTGCTGGCGCCGGAAACAGAAATAGGTGGCAAGTGGAGCGCCGCGTCCGGACCTGCAGTCAAAGCCGTGGTGACCTGCAGCTGTGACCCGGCTGGTGGGGTGCTTTGTCCGCAGCGGCCCAGCAAGCAGTCGCAAGAACTGTTTATGTTCGCCCGTGGCCTGCTGTAGGGCGACGGGCGGTGAGCCTCCTCTCTACCGACCACGCGCTGGACATCGCAGCCGATAGCGGGCCCAGCCGACTGCTTTTCTGCCGTAGTTCCGGTAGCCCACGCCCGTGCAGATGTAAAAGCCCGTGATGGAATAGGTGTAACACGGAGTCCACCGGCAACGCCCATCAGGTTACCTTCCTCACACGAGTCCACGAGCAGGGTATATGAAGGGACATAACTCATTCTTTTCAAGAATCAAGGAACTGCCACTGTGAACGGCTAGCCAAACTTTTTTTACAACAATAAATCTGCCGGATAGTGTTCGTGCTAGACAAAAAAAGACCCATGCATTTATTCCATAATTCGGTGTAGAAAGGGGCCTCCTGGGAGGGTTGTATCCGGATGGTGGTTGGCGTATGCAACAACACGTTTATGTTGAACTTTCCTGCATGAAGTCATTCTTTGCCAGAATGTGGCTCTCAGATGGACAGGGATGCTGGCGGACGAATGCGATGGCGCCCTTGGCGGGGGTGCTGGCGGCCTGCAGCAACATGTTGTCAGCCGTAGTCTGTTATAGCCTTCGCCCTGCCAACTACTGCAGATGCCAGACAAAGATGCAAGAGCTCAGGCAAAACGCAAGAAAGCTCATGATGCCAAAGATCACAATCAGAGTGAAAATCAGAAGTTGCTGAAACAAACTTCCATCATCACAACACGGATTGTAACTGGCATCGATGGTGGGCAAGTCTGATAACTTTGCCGATACGATGGAAAGAGGGCTGAGGGCCACACAAGCGAGAGGAGAGCTTGCTAACAGAGCGTCATATCTAGAACACCCTCTTGGTGCGCATGTTTCACGATTCTGACCATGACCCATGGTCGTTCAAGGACATTCGTCGCCTTATCGAAATATCCGGGGGGCGTGACCGGCAGGATTAGGAAATGCCAGACATCAGGAAGGCATTTGGCACCAACCGTTCCGAAACTGTTTTGTTTTTCTCTCTGGAAGGGCAGGGCGCGGTTGTAGCAGAATGCAGAGCTGCAAAGGCGTCTTGGCGAGGCTGTTCGGTGTTCCAGTAAAGGGCAAAATGCCCGCAATCCCAGAAATCCGCGCGGAAGTCACTCGTCACCTCCCTGATCCCTAGCAAGACATCTCAACAAAATGAGAACGTTGTTTGCTAGGCATGCCATTCCCATCAAATTCGGCACCATCGTCCCCGATGCAGTCCTTGAAACGCCATCACCCGAAAGCTTGCCGGTTACGGCCTTGCAGTCCATGTTGAAAAAGGTGATGAAAATGATAGGCCCGAAACAAGAGAAGCTGAAACGATCAACCTGTTTTTCTCTCTCTTTTTGCACGCACCTTTTTACCGCCAATGGTTTCCAGGTCCCAGTGCAGTGGCGCCGCGCGTCCTGGACGGCTCCCGACAGGCCGCTCAAGCCCGATGGCAGCAGGCCCCTCCTGCCAACGGGCATCTGCGAGGAGCTCGTGCAAACCCGGCTCCGTTCCGGCAGCACTGTCGTGGGACTCGCTGGGTAACTCACGGAGCGACGAGGCCAGCGCGTGCGCTGCCACAGAGATGATGCCGCTCCACCGCTGGACCCAGACGCTATGCGCAGCGGGACGGAGCGCAGGTGGCGCACGTGCCGCACGCGCAAGCATGCGAAGCAAGGCCGCAGCTTCCAGAGCCCAGTGCCCGCCAACCTCCACACCGAAAACGAAGAGGCGGCAGCGGCGAGAACACCCTAGCTCCGGGTAGGTCTTCGCTTGCGGTTGGCTGCATTGCGGAGCACCGTGCCGGGCACAACGTCTGCACGGGGTTGCGGCGTTCCGTCCCGCGCGATCGGGCTGACGATGGTGGCATCCACCGCAACTTGCGCGCCATGCCAGAACGGCAGCCCATTGCAAACGACATCGATGCGCCGCGCATCGTGGACCGGCACATGGAGGTTCATAAACACGGGCGATGGCGCGCTCCAAGGGCAAGGCCCGAGATGCAAGGACACCTGACGTGGCGCAGGCCGCACGGTGGTCCCCAAGCACATCTAGCGCGCGGCGGCAGGAACAGTGGCTGGGGCCGAGCGGCGGCGGCAAGCGCAGCCGGCGGAGAACAGGATGCGGAAGAGTGAGCTGGGCACGGCGAACCCGTCCCACGTTGGGAGGACAGTGAACACTCGCGCATGCTCGCGCCGCATGGGGCCCAGCTTGTGACAGCAGCAACGCTCGAGACGCAGGGGAAAAAAAGGTGCGTCTCAAGCGCGCGCTCGTCACAAGCCCGGGCTGCCCGGTGTTGCCAGCCTCGCAAGAACCTTCCAGTCTCATCTTCGCGGTCGGTGGGGTCGGCGTGGTCCTCCAAGGCCTCCCCCCAGCCGGGTGCCTCAAAGCCTTGTGTGCGGAGGTGGTGGCGGCTTGCGCCGCTGCCGTTAAAGATGGCACGTGCCCAGCGCTGGGGTCGCGAAGAAGGGCAAGGAGTCGGGCCGCAATACCCGGGGCGCACGTGTGGATGACTGGCAGCGTGTCCATCCAAGAAGCCGGTAAGCAATTGCTTCGCGGAGACCCAGTCTGCCGAAGCGGAGCGGGAGGCGAGCGGCTCGTTGTTGCATGGGGGGCAGCGGGGCATCCGCAAGGCCGAGGAGCGTCGCCAGACAAAAGGCGACGGCTTCGTCATGCGCGCTTGCAAATCCGCAGTGCTGGTGGGCGGGAGGGCGCGAAACAGATAATTAGCGCGTGGACATGCGCAGTGCCGGAGCAGCAGCCACGCCGCCTGCAGGCCCTCGACCTCCCCTGCAAGAATTGGATGGGGTTGAGATGCATGTGTGTGCAATAACCATTGCCGACCTCGTGCGTCATGAGAGT